TCTGCACGCTTCGTCTAACGGATTTATACCTCGATCGCCGCGGGCCAATCGCTTGCTTAGACGAGTGCCAGGACCGCAAAATTGGTATCCGGGCAGATGCAATTCAACTGGCAGGTTATTTATTAAATTGTTAATAAGACCTTTCCCCGTTTTAGACGTTATTCTTCTTTTCTTAACGTTAGAGTGAAAGTTCATGCTCGCTGGTTGACAGGCAACTACTGAGCTCCTAAGCATATACGGACTTATATAGTAGGTTTCAGTGTTTTATACACTTCCAGTAGAGCAATGGCCTCCATACGCTTCAAACCGCAAGAAACGGCACTACCTATAAAAAATTACGACGCGTGTTCGAGAGATAAACGAGTTTCAAAACACAGTAGCCTGTTACAGGGTGGTTGCAAACGTGGCATCATTGTAGGTAGATCAGGTTGTGGTAAAACGAATGTTATGATTGCATTATTAGAACAATCCAACGGTTTACGCTTTGAAAATGTATACGTGTATTGTAAATCGCTGCCGCAACCGAAATACCAATATCTGCGTCAGTTGTTGTCCCCAATTAAGGAAATTGGGTATTTTGAATATACTGACAGTGCAGACATCGTCCCACCTAACCTCGCACGTAGCAACTCGGTAATGATTTTCGATGACGTTGCTTGCCATAAGCAAAACGAGATTAGAGAACATTTCTGTTTTGGTAGACATAAAAATAACGATTGTTTTTATTTATGTCAAACGTATTCGGCCATCCCCAAGCAGTTATTCGAGACAATGCTAATCTAATTGTGTTGTTTCAACAGGATCAAACTAATTTAAAACACGTGCACGAAGATCACGTGAATGTCGATATGCCATTTGATCGCTTTAAGGAAATGTGCGTGAGGTGCTGGAATGATAAATATGGATTCTTAGTTATCGATAAAGAAAGTGACATGAACTCGGGTCGATATAGGAAAGGTTTTGATTGTTACATTTTAATATAAATATCGATGTTTCATATGGAAAAAATGCAGTCAATATGAAACAGCGTTTAATAGAAGACCTCCTTGATGCCAGAAAATCTGTTAAACATAAATACATATCCTTAAAGCGTGATTTTGCGCTGGCAGAACGTAAATCCGAGCAACATCTTAAACCCATTACACAACCGCTGAAGCAACTACTTACTAAAGCTACACCTCAGAATTTTAAACGTGAAAATATTAAACATGATAGTGCCGACGTGACCTCATCTACAGAGACCCTACTTCGGACCCCTCTAAAAGCGTCTACTGCTCAACGAATCCCTAAAACCCTTTTTTCGGAACACGAGGAACAACCGAGCTTTTTAGACACGAGCGTGATTGCCGACACCACTCGCGATGATGAAACGCCAACTCTAGATGAATTAAGAGCTGAGCTCTCGCGGGCTGGCGACCATCCATCTTTTACGGAATTCTTAGATCAATACGATGGATTGGCGAAGATTTATGTGGAGCAGATGTTCAGATCTACAGAGAATGAATTTGATCATCGATATGGTGTACGATACATCCCGGAAGCCAATAAATTCTACGTTGGAGATTCCGAGTTGGACTTTGACAAACAAGATTTGGTTCTCAAACTTCCTACAGGAGACACAGTAGCATATAACGGAACTCCTGGTCTATACGAGCTACTGTTTAAGAGGCAACCTCTTGGGTACAAAACCGCAGATGAGAATAACTATCGTGACATATTGCTCCGCACTAATGCAATACGACGTCATTACAATCCAAATGAACAAATTCAAGGCACCGGAAAAAAGTACAGCAGCATCATTAAACCACTTTTTAGTACCCGTGTATCAGTTCCCAGAATTCAAACTTCCTCTGTTAGCACAAGGAAAGGGAAAGGTATTCAAATGTTACAATTAAACAACAAGCGAATAGAATTTATGCCCTGGAGCAACCCCAACAAATTAGTTAACTGGCTGCGGGTTTTATTGGGATCTCAATCCGCAGGGAACACGAACAATCACAATGAAATCATATACATCATAGATGAATTGCGGAATGCTGAAATAATAAAGTAATTTAGTTGGTAATGTGTTCTTAATAAATAAATAGTGAGATTGTATCTTTAATCGATCAGTCTGAAGCAAAGATGAGTATTGACAAGTTCGGTAAACACATTCTAAATCAATCAAAAGCTGAAGAGGTGTCTTCTTATACGTATGAGTCATACTTGTATCTGTTGGGAACGCACGCCGAGAATACGCCGTTCATACGTTGGCACACCTCGAGTAGAACACCACAAGCGTTTGCATTTCCTCTAACGGAATGTGTTGTAATTAAGAGTTCCTGGTCCCCGCGCCATGGAACTACTATTATTATAAACGAACGTTTGTACAATACTCCGTTGAAGTTAATAGGGATAACACTACGTAAAGGTGACATCATCAAAGCCAAATGTCCGAAGAATAATGCAGGGCAGTTATTTTGCTTGGAACTACTATTACAATCACGTCTCAGGAAATGAGTAAAGTACAGCTAGTGGAAGAATTACATAAACCTGCAAGAAGGAACTTTCCTAGGCGGCACGTAATTATTAAAGGACTAAATGACCTATTCCAAGCCGATTTGGTGGAAATGATACCTTATGCGCCAATGAACAAAGGTTTCCGTTACATTTTGGTGGTTATAAACACATTTTCTAAATTTGTTTGGGCGTACCCTATAAAACGAAAAAATGGAAAACTGGTGGCAGATGTTATGAATAAACTTTTATCGGGACTTAAAACGACCCCGAAACATTTACAAACAGATATGGGAAAGGAATTTTATAACAAGGATTTTGGAGATGTAATGAAGAAATTCAATGTTAATCATTATAGTAGCTATTCTACCCTAAAAAGCTCTATTGTTGAGCGCGTTAACAGAACGCTTAAGTCAATTATGTTCAAGAAATTCAGCTTACAGGGTTCCTACAAGTGGCTATCACTTTTACCTCAAATAGTTGACAAATACAATTCAACTAAACATCGAACTACGGGATATAAACCTATCGATGTTAACGAGAAGAACGCCTCAAGTATTTTGAAGAGAGTTTACAGTCATATAAATGTGATTAACCCAAAACCACCTAAATTTAAAGTGGACGATTCTGTGAGAATTAGTAAATACAGAACCGTTTTCGCAAAAGGTTACACGCCAAATTGGACTTACGAGACATTCACAGTTGCTAAAGTGAAACGTTCAAATCCTACGACATATATACTAAAAGATAGTACAAATCAAGAAATAAAAGGAAGATTTTACGAACAAGAATTACAAAAAGCGCAGTACCCCGACATCCACTTGGTTGAGCGAGTAATTCGAAGAAAGGGCCAGAAATCCTTAGTGAAGTGGTTAGGATTTGACAGTTCTCACAATTCTTGGGTATTAAATAAAGATATTCTATAAATTTTGGCATTTCAAAGCTGTACTTCAAGTAAGATGTGTTTAGAAGACGGCGCAGCTGATTATACCAACTTTGAAGATCGACTCCTATCATTTCATTCATGGGTAGGAGTTCCATCGGCAGTTGAACTTGCTAATGCTGGATTTTTCTACACGCATAGCGGCGATACGGTGGAATGCTTTTATTGTAAAGTGCGCATTAATAAGTGGGAGGCCTCCGATGTACCCTTAGCTGAGCACCTTCGTTGGTCGTCACGTTGCAGATATGCAAGATTATTAAATCGTATGGCCTGCTTGAAGATTAATGAAACAGAGAAGACCTACTGCGTTTGTGGTTGTAGTCCGGGCGCTCATCTTATTTAATAAAACAATGCGATTTATTTTTTTTATTGTAATTATGGCACATGGTATTGTAAACATTTTAAATAAACATTTTAAATAACTTAGCTTGTTACTGATGATTACAAAGAATTAAGAAAATCTTCCAAACTTTGAATTGCGTTAATATCGCGATGTCCCCATGCCAATGTTCTGCAGGTGCCAGGGATAATGTATCTTTTGTCGTCCGTTGATGATAAGGCTATTTTGTTTGTCATTTCTGTGTACATGGTGTGCAAGTGAGATCGAAAACCGCTCATCTGCTTCATAATCACGCCACCTTCTTCGACTACTTTCTTATAATCTTCCTCTTTTAAGCCGTTCTTTATTACATACTTTTTTACCCCTTTAGCTTTCTTATCTACACGATCACCTACATTGACACAGTATGACTTTGCACCTGCACCGTAAAAACTAGCGATGGGGACACCGCAATATTCATCTTTCATCTTCCCCACAACTGAAATGTTGCGTGGAATACCGTGTACATTATCAAGGGGAAATTTAGATGTGTCATATCTATCCAAATATAATTTCATGTCATCATAGAAATTATTAGTAAAAATCTCCAATATAAGGGAATCGGTGTCTGTATACAACAAAGATACTTTATCTTGATATAATGGTTTTAGAAAATCGTAAAAGAACTCGTACATAACTGTTTTGGATAAATCTAAAATTGAAAAACCAACATACACCGGTTTGTTGTACTTTACGGATACTTTGGACATTTCAATTGCCACGAGATTTTCAGAGAACACCGATAAATTTTTAAAATTTGGTTTAGATATGTGGCCCTCAGCTCCAGGCTTCTTACCGATCCTCTCCCAGTGACTTACAAGTGCAACGTTAACTCGTTTGTCAACGTTTTCCATAGTTTTACCATAAATGCTGTTATTCATAGTTTTTATAGTGTCACGGCCCGATTCGCTAGTTTCACGATTACGCAGTTCCGTATTTAGATCAATATATGATTTTAACCAAGGCGATTGCATAAATTTAACCCCGCGATGAATATTTTTTAAAATTAATCCGTGTTGCAGGCATTGTCTTAGCATTCTATAATGTAAAACGTATTTTTCCTTATGATTTAAATTTGGAATTAGTTTCTTATACTTTGACCTTGAATTTGGCGGGGTTATAGATTCGGGGCAATAGGGCATGTCATTTTGCAAATTGTGGAGGGCCTCAGGGTACAGTAGATCAACATTCTAAGACATACCCGATCGGTGACTCATCTGATATTTCGAAAACATTAAAATTTTGAATTTCTTCGGGTGTGAGCCAAGCAAAGTCACTTTGTGGGAGAAATTGTGTTTGGGAATGGCCATAAAGATTGCATGCATCCAGATAAATAATAAAAGAGCTTGGTTTGGAAGGATCGTAATTGGGAAGAAATTTATTGTTAGCGATTGCTTTGCGTTTGGTGCACGTACTGACGCCGCCTCGAATACCACGTTTAAAAAAATGAAGCATGTCAATATCTGTCAGTAATTCTAATTCCACATCCGTCTTTTTTAACATAGCGTCCCAGCTAAGGCTAGGACCGGTCAGATATTGGGCAGCGTCAATTTCGTACTCGCGTAAACACACGCCTCTGTAGTTTTCAAATATATCGGCCAATAAAAGCACATCAGATTTTAAATAAATGTCCGAGTATTCGCCCAACGTCTGGCAATTAAATAAATTCCAAACTTCCTGAGCACGTCTGTATTCTTCATCGGTAATGTCCTGCTCGTGCAACATATCAAAGAAATCGCTTTTATTGGGGATCGTAGTTAGATTAAGCTTATCGTATGAGTCTACAAACGAATACGGAAAAACACCTTTTTGTCGAATTAATTCAAATTCACGTCCAGATCCAAAAAATTGTGTAATTTCAGTGCACTCGCTATCACTCAAATTTTTGGCAAGAACATTTAATGAACTGGCCAGAAAACGAAAACTATCGACGAAACGTATTCTCCATATTAGGTTTTTTGGAACTCCGTTCTCCACGATTTGATCTACTACAATATGCTTCGAAAAAGAAATATATTTTTCCTTATTTCCGGCAATAACGTCTATAGTTTCATTCTCTAAAGCCAGGGATTTAACGAAAAGATGGCTGTCGTACCCGGTCAAATTGTGGAAAAATACAGGGATAAAATTTGGATTTTGAAGCTGTAAATTACATATAGAATGACATAATCCGGCCCTGACGAAAGAAGTCTGATGGTCGTGGTCGATCACTTTTACATCTCCCTCAACAAAAGGTTTCTCACAAATCCCACAACTTGTGGCAAGATTAATTTGTCTCCGTTCCTCTTCTGTTAAAATTTGTAAAGGTTTACTTTGCTTAAAATGTTGATTGTATATGGTTAGAATATCATTCTGTAGCATATTTATAAACTGCACTGGGGCATTGGCACCTCGATAAATTTGAAACTT